TGTCATAAACAATAGCCTCAATAATAGTCTTACTACAAATATGTCAGCAAATTTCAGAATGCCCCTCTGTAGGCCAAATGCTTTATACAAGAGCATCATCAGTAAAGGCAGTTACATAGTAGGAATGTTGGATGAGGATTATTCAACAGTCTGACTTGGGCTGGAGGCATAGCTAAATTGGTAGAGTGCCTACTTTGCAAGTGTGAAGCCCTGTGTTCAAACTCCAGTCCTACCAAAAAAAAAAAAACAAAACAAAAACAAAATGCAGTCTGACTTAAAAGGAGAAAGGATTTTAGAGTAACTAGAATAGATATCACATATCCTTTAGGAATCTTCCATAATTATCTATTTTGTTCACAGTTAGTACAGGGATACTGGCACAGTATAGATTATTAAGAAGTACTTTCAGGGCCTGATGTAGTGGTACATGTCTATAATCACCAAGTACTAGGGAGGCATTTCAAGCAACGAACTGAGAGTGTTGGTGTGGGTCGTAATCTCAGCTATGTGCTAGGCACAGGTGGGAGGATCTTAAGGCTAGCTCCATAAAAATGCTAGATGATTTTAAAACATAAGTAAAGCATAAAAGGACTGGGGGCATGGCTCAAGTGGTACAGTATCTGCCAGGTAAACACTAAGCTCTGAGATCAAACCCTAGTACTGCCCTCCCCCACAAATGTGTTTGTACTGTCTCCCACCCCCCAAAAATGTGTTTTCAAAGTAGATGTTGTATTGCCGTGGGTTCAAAATTACTTTTATTGGTGCTTGTCACTGAAGGTATACAGGTAGGATGATCATGTGGCCACTCAGGGTAACATCTGAAAAGGTAATACCGCATCGGCAGGCTCATCAGCATAGTTGCAGGTAATTGAGTTCAAGGAACTGACTTTTGCTAACCAAATATCTGATAGCAAAACAGAAACAGTGCCTGCTTGTGTTAGCCTATTAAACTATTAGTGAGAAACTTAATTGCGAAGTAGAATATAATTATTATCTTGCTTTTAGAAGAAGCTAAATTATAATCAGAGAGTTGCTTACTGACTTAGTCATGGCCAAGGAACTTGATCGTGCTGATGGTCAGGATATGCCTTCAGAGCTAGGCACATCCCGAACAGTGCTCTTTAGGTTTCCTTTTCTTACGGGAATATAGGCACACTGTCCCTAAAACGTTCTGTTTGTCACAGACAGAAAAAGAACAGTAGCTTAAATAATTTATTTAAAAATATTTGTAGTTAAGGAGATAAGCTGTTTGGATTATTTGTGAATCTCCAGTCCCATGTTCCTGTTTGCCATGCTATCAAAACGTCACCACCTCCCAGTTGTAATAAATACGATGCTTACCTTGTGTAGTTTTTGCTGCTTTCTCAGGATATGAGAACATCTATAAGTGCTGTCCATAGGCAACAATTACAGTGTAATTTTAGTTCATACTATAATTGTACAAATACACGGTACACTTCTCTAGTGGTTTAATGGTTAGATTTTGGCATTGAAGTCAAATTTGATACTCCCTCTCCTACCCTCTTTTATTTTCATTTTAGCAGGTGCTGGGAATGTTAGAAGCAAAATATATAGCCCCTTGAACAATAGTATACTTTGAAAAGTGATCACTTTAATGCAAACATGAAAATTTCCTGTCTGCATTAAACCAGAGTTTAGGAGCTTGTAGTGATTGAAATCAACATTAAGTAGGAGGACCAGGTGGTATTGGGAAGTTGGCTCCCTTTTGGGGGAAGAACAGTTGTCACTCAGGGTCATACGCCATACATAAAAGTTAATTGTGGAGAGCTTAAATGTTCAAGGGAAAACTCAGAAACGTATGAGGACAAGGAACAGGAATAATTGCTGTTTAGTTTTACAGATGTGAAGGCTTTCTGACATGACACTAACTCAGATGCCATAAAAGGAAAAAGATTTAACTGTAAATTTGACCGTGTAAAATATTTAAGGTTTAGCTAAAAGGCTCTACAAACTAAGTTAATATATGATAGCAAAGTATTAACCTATGTGAAGAATTGAGGATTCACTTATCTTAAGATATAAACACTCTTAGACATCAGTAATAAACGGCAAATACTCCAACAGAAAAAATGGTCAAATTGTATGAATAGATATTTCATGCAGAATGAGAACTCAGCATGTGAACCTTGACTAACAGCTTCTGCTATGAAGACAAAACCTTCTTTGGTCACATTTAAAACCAAAGGATGAAGTTGAGAAATGTCTGTTTTGATAGGAGAGTAGAGGAATTAAAGTATTACGAGAAAGAGTAGAGTTGGAGGAATACTGTCTCTAATTTAGAGGTAATAGACTAGTTCTTTTTTTTTTTTTTGGTGGTACTGGGATTTGAACTCGGCCCTGTGCTTGCTAGGTAGGGTCTCTACACTTGAAACAACGTCCCTAGCCCTTTATGCTTTAGTTTTTTTTATTTTTAGGTAGGGCCTTGGACATTTTTCCTGGACTTGAATCTTTCTACTTATACCTCCCCTATATATAGAATAACAGGTGTGAGTCATCAAACCCCACTTTTTTTGTTGAGATGGTGTTACATTAACTTTTTTTGGCCAGGGCAGGCCTTGAATCAGATCCTCCCAAGGATCTGCCTCACAAGTATCTGGGATTGTAGGTGCAAGCCACCTCACCAGGCTAGTGATGTTGAGTGTTTATATATACATACCTGTGGATAATTTTGTTATTTAACAAGAAATATTTAAAATCATGAAATAGTTAAGTAGGAAGGGATTCCTGCCCTTCCCATTGAGCGTGTAGGATAACAGATCAATGATTATGAGCTTTAACTTGCCTAAGCTTGTAGCGTGATTTTTAATTTCTTTAAAGGCCAGTGTTTCCTGCATCACTGACATTCTCCTGTTGTTCTCACTCACTTTTTTTTGTGTTCCTGCACAAACATCTTTAATAAATGCTTCTGGTGTCCTAATGAAGTTCCTCTTTTGGAGTGGTTTAAAGCCCTTCCCTAGAGTTTTTCACCATTATTTCTGCATGAGTCTCTGTTCTGATTCAGAACTTGGCATTTGGAACGTTTGCTTTGGGGACTCCTTTTTCTATAAAGAAATTGTTCCACTAAGTTTTCACCCAGGGGATTGCAGTTAACCAGTTCTCCTCTCTCTCTCCCTGTAAAGCAGTAACTTAGCAGAACCATCTTTGTTATAATTCATTGGTTTAATTACATGCACAACTCCAGATCATCTGCAGGATCTTTCTTTTTTTTAGTGTCAAGTGAAATAACTCTGTATTTTGTTTATAACAGCAAGTAGGAGTGGAGGTGTGGCTCAAGTAGTAGAGTGCCTGATTTAAAAGCATGAAGCCCTGAGTTCAAACTCCAGTCCCACCAAATAGAAAAAACAAAAAAGGAAGGAATCAGAAATCTTGATTCTAGATACTAGCTGTAAACAGTAAAGCCAGCAAAAAAGTCACTTGAGCAGATGAAGTAATGCTATTACAGGATTTGAAAGCGAACTGTAGATACATACATTGACAGGAAAGTTTGTTGTTTGAGCTGAAAAATTAATCAGCATGATACTTCAGTTGGCAGTATTAGCTTAAGGTGGAATGCTTCTGGGTAATAGAAAATAAGTTACCTAGTTTGTTCTTACCCCCATGTATTTGCTGGGATAGAGCTAAGTGGTAGGGTGATTTTTCTATCATGTCCAGGGCCCTGGGTTCAATCATCAGCACTGGGGATAGGCCAGGGGAGAGGGAACAAAGTCATAATAATTGGCATCTGTTGAGCCTATGGTATGTATGCCAGCTACTGTTCTAAGTGTACTACATGAATTATTGCATATAATCCTTATGTCCACTCTGTGAGGTTGGCGTTGTTTTGTAGATGTAGAAACAGGCACAAGAAAGTTAGGTAATTTCAAAAAGTTAATGTTAGTAGAAAGTGGTGGAGTTAGTTTAAAAGTAATTTAAGGATCTTGCTTCTAGTTTTCTTGCTGACTTTAGTTGACTCCCAAATTAGACTGGCTAAGGAAGATACTTAGAGCAGAAGTTCTTTTTATTGCCAATTAACTTTCTTCAAGATTTTGGAGACTTAAGTTATCTGTTGGGTGATAAAAGATTTTTAGAGATAATCACACATTTAAGTGCTACCTCCTCCTCTGTAATTCCATAAAGTAATTGTGGATATGAATTGTGGATAAACTAAGAAGTATTTTTAGTAGGTTTTGTTTTTAGAGTTTACAAGACTGCAGTTGTTCAGTCTGTCTAGTGGCAGTCAAAATAAAACACCAGGAATGAAACTTCCAGCACTATGAGCAGTCTTAGAAGAGAGACCCAAGAGGAAGTAGATACCTTTGGAAACTATGTGTGTATTTGAGCCAATTTTCAGTTACCTCATAGGAGAGTTCCTTCTGTGAGGAACTCTAGATTTTCTAGATTGTCCCTTCACAGAGTAACAACAGCTTCAGGTAACAATAGTGAGGATTTTAATTTTTTAAATTTTATTATTCATATGTGCATACAAGGCTTGGGTCATTTCTCCCCCCTGCCCCCACCCCCTCCCTTACCACCCACTCCGCCCCCTCCCTCTCCCCCCTACCCCCTCAATACCCAGCAGAAACTATTTTGCCCTTATTTCTAATTTTGTTGTAGAGAAAGTATAAGCAATAATGGGAAGGAACAAGGGTTTTTGCTGGTTGAGATAAGGATAGCTATACAGGGAGTTGACTCACATTAATTTCCTGTGCGTGTGTGTTACCTTCTAGGTTAATTCTTTTTGATCTAACCTTTTCTCTAGTACCTGTTCCCCTTTTCCTATTGGCCTCAGTTGCTTTTAAGGTATCTGCTTTAGTTTCTCTGCGTTAAGGGCAACAAATGCTAGCTAATTTTTTAGGTGTCTTACCTATCCTCATCCCTCCCTTGTGTGCTCTCGCTTTTATCATGTGCTCAAAGTCCAATCCCACTGTTGTATTTGCCCTTGATCTAATGTCCACATATGAGGGAGAACATACGATTTTTGGTCTTTTGGGCCAGGCTAACCTCATATAGTGAGGATTTTTAAAAGTGAGATAGAAGAAAACCTCATGAGCAGAAACTCATGAGCCTTAAAACTAATTCATTTGTACCATAAAAAGTTAACAAAGTACCAGTAGTTAACAAAGTCATATATTTATTTTGCCTGCATATGGAGAGAAATATACTTTCACAACTCTTGAGTTTGGAGAGGCATTTTAATACATTAGTGGGGAATTTTTCTTTTTTCTTTTTTCATGGTCTCGTTAAGGAAATAGCCATTTTCCACTAAAGGGTTATACTGGAAACCTCTCCTGTCTGACAGCCTGAGCTGATTGGTCAGGCTATAGGGCATGTTTGTTTCCTGCTTGACATAGTAGGTTTTGCACAATGGGTGAAAAACACTGTCATTTTTGTCATCACTGATGGATGATGTTATAACATCATGGTGGATAGTGTTATAAAATAAATCAACTCTCTGTAGTTTTTCTTTTCTTGATATCTTGATTATTTAAGTCAGATGTATTTCTTTTCTGAGATCTAGCAGTTTTCTCTGTGTTTTAAAGGTGTGTATGTCTAATTTATTTAAACGTGTCTATAAATGAAGATTGTTCTGTTTGCTATTCAGATTAGTTGTTTTGGAAGCAAAAGTTCAGGTTTTATGTGTTACGTCTTTGTAAAAGAGAAGCACAGACATTTACAGTTTCTTTGTAGGATATGCCTACAAAACAGCAGTCACCAATAAGAGACTTACTTGAAAAATTTGTGTGTCTTCCAAAAGGCTCTCCAAGTTCTTAATGCTACACAGTTTTCAGTGTTGAAGATGTGTGCACAGGAATCACTAATGTGGGTTTTTAGGGGGATGCAAGACCTCAAATCTGTCTGTAATGTTCATTTTTTTCTTACTGTAAAGGAGAACCAGCACATATTAAGCTCCATTGTTGATAATTTGAGAACACGAACCAAATAACTTTGTTCTAAATAACTATATAGGTAAGTTACAGCTTTTGTTATATTTGGTTTTTAACTTTGTCGCATACTCCAAACTAAACAATGTTATAACTGAGCCACAAGTGGTGAAATGAATCAAGGTAGTGTTCCTTAGTAGAAAAGCTTTAAAAAAACTTTTAAAATGTGACTGAATTTGATAATTTGTTGTTTATATCAGAGTCAAGTTAACATGGACAAGCAGTTTATGACTTTTGATCTGATATATGTTGATACTAGGGAAAAATACATGTGTCCTCTAGAAATGCATTTCTGATTATTTCTATGCCAAAGACCTTGCTGATTAGCATTTTGCCAGGAGCTTTAAACATTAAGTGATTTACATGAACATTCAATTCAGGTTCACACAACCCAATTCTGTCTTTAGGTTTAAAAAAAATAACCTTGTTTTATTGTAGCACAGCATTCATTACAATGCATATTTAAAAATGGAACGTCCCAAAGAGAACTTAAGGATGTGGTTGTCTAATGAAAAAATGCTTCTGAAACTTGGACAGTCTTGATTATCAAGGGGCATGTTCCCTTGGGAGGACAAAAGTTTCAAGTCAAAGAAAAGTCTACAGTTCTTACATTTAGTAGTATGAATTATTATGTTTTTGTTTCTCATTAGCTCAAGAGTTTATACTTGAGAGTCAGAAACAAAAGCTTTCAGCCACTTGTGAACTCTATAATGGTTTATTAGCATTCTTACAGAACAAGGTACCAGTTTTTTCTACTATACTGTTTTATCCTTTGCCTTTCCAGAGTAAAACTTGGAGCTATACTTAGTTAAGGATTTTTTTTCCTGGCGATAGTGGCTTTGATCTCAGAACCTCACACTTGCTAGACAGGTGCTCTACCACTTGAGCCACCTACCAGCAAGAATTTATTTTAAAGAAATAAAACTCACCTTAGGTTTTTTTTCTTTCTTTTTAACTCGGTGCCAGGTTTGCCTGTTTCAATGGATAAAAGAATGGAAAATGTTGGCTATGAGAAAGTTTTTGTCTTTGTTATAAATACTTCAATTTTTTTCCTTTGCTCCTTGCTTTTCTTATGCAACTAGAAAAAAAAATAACCTCAGGAACATTAAGACTCTAGCTGCATCTAGTAAATTTTGTCAGTTTTGGTTTTGACTAGAATGTAGAATGCAATTTTTCTGGCTTGGTTGGGTTCTTGGACAAAATATTTCAGAATCCTATGCAATGTAGTATGTTAAATTACTTAAATAATATTTCATTTTTTAAAAGCTTGCCCATACATTATTCAGTTTTTGAAGAGAAAAACTTTTAATAATGCTCCTTCAAACCAGGAAAATACCTGGTATTGAATTTAAAAATCTTTTTTATTAAATAATATTAATATGTCTCAAAGCTTATGGCAGAATACAAATAAAACCCTTGGCGGATTCAACTCTCTTTAACATAAGTTTAGTAACATCAGTTTGTTCCAGCTGTGCTTTAAATGCAGAGTGTTTGTTTCTCAGCTTGCAGAGGGCAGCACATCCTGCCTCTTGTTCACCTTAGTAGTTCAACAAAAGTAGTGTTTGCTTTTGAAGATGGGCAGATAAATATCAGTTTTTTGGTTTGTTTTGTGTTTGAGACAGTGCCTCTCTGTGTAGCCCACACTGGCCTAGAACTCACTGTGTAGCCCAGGAAGGCCTCAAACTTACAATGGATTACAGGTGTATGGCACCACACTTGTCTTTAAATTGAATTTTAATGTGAAAATAATTCTGTTTCTTTGTGTATTGCCCAAGTTTAATCCATATCATAGTTGTGTCTCACATATATGTAAATTCTTGCCGCATAAAAAAAGTATCCAGAAGGCAACATTAGTTTTATGCATTGGTAAAAAGGTACCCATTCATTCTGACTCTTTAATCATGGAAGGTCTTATCCCTGGTTTCAGCAATTGAACATACAGGATAATCTTCATTCTTGGTTATCAGAGAAAATGTTGAGTCAGGTAAGTTCTTTCATCTCTTCCCCTCTCCTAACTTTCTACTCAATGAATAACATTTTTTTATATAACTGGAATGCCCAGAAAACGATAATGTTACAGTTCATTTTTTTTTTTTTTTTTTACAGTTCATTTTCTACCAGTGACTTTTTTTTGGTAACTGTAATTCATAACAACATGTAATACTGTTCATTTGCCTTTAAACAGATTGTGATTGTTCAGGTTTTTTTTAACCTAAAGAGGTGGGTTCAGGTAACATAAATAAAGTCAAAATAAAGAGACACAAACGGGGAACAGAAGGTTGTATTTGGAATACGCTTGGGATGTACCAGTACAATGACTTTCTTGCTCTGAGGAGCTCGAGTGAATATTTATTGATATACTAGGATGTGGGTGTACTGGTTATAACTACACAAATCTTTATTTTGAGGCCCTAATAATTTTGAGTTGCTTTAGGGAGAGAGAGATCCTTATAAGGCAGTAAAATTCTGTCTGAACATGACAGTCCCTTTTCACTGTCTGGATGTGCCTATGGAAAATGTCTCCCTAGGACCTTTAATTTTGTTCCTAAATTTATAACAGAGTCACTTCTTGGTGCGATCTATTGCTCAGGGTACTTTTGGTGATAAGATTGTTATTAAGTTGGGTAGGTGAGCTGTAGACCTTGTCCTGCAGGGGCTCACTTATTGTTTTGTACAAGAATAGGCAGTGCTGAGGAATCGTATCTCATTTTGGGCATCAAATGATTTCCCACTTTTAAAATCTGACATTGCCACTACTTTGATTTAAACAGAAAAACTAGCAAATGCTCACATGAACATGAGAAAAATAACTTAAAAATAATTTAAGTTGTTGCTGTATTTTTGCTCAACGAAAAGTGAAGAAGACTGTAGTAACATTATATATACCTAAGTTCAAATGAATAGGTATTTTGGCCTAATGTCCATTACTATAATTCTTTCCTCTAGAAAATATCTTTCTTTTGAGCGCTAACATCAGTTTTCAGTTGGAAATATACAGGGTTTGGAATAGCTTCAGATATAAAGAGACTTGCTGAAAAATGAAATAAAAGCTTGTATTAAAGCACTGTTTGAAACAAAAGAATATTAGGTGGAAAACACAGATTACAACTGATTGCTTTGTAGGAAATATTAGGGAATCTATTTAGAAAAGACTTTGATAACTAGTAGTAATATTATAGCTGAGATTTATTGAACACTGATGACATGTTAGGCACTGTGCTCAGCTGTATTATTTAATACTCAAGTGTCTTGGGATGTAGAAAATGTTTTTAAAATCCTGGTTTACAGAAGAATCCTGAGAATCCTAAGATTTAGGTGAAAGAACTTGTGCAAGTTTCCAAAGTTATTTGAGTGTGACAGTTGAGATTTGAACATAGGTAAGATGATTCTCGTGCCTCTACTTTAACCAGTGTGCTATAGTTCTAGCTGAACCAATAGGGTCTTACCTCTGATTGTATTGTGATCCTACATAAATAAATATTTGCCTTGTTTTCTGCTACTTCTCATAGCTTGGGAGTGTCTCCATTATTTCTGGATTTTAAGGAGGTGACTTGCTCCTTATTGCCCCCTTCTCAGTGTGCCACACTGTATGCCACACTTGGGGATTTTTTTGACAACTGGTCAAGAAGCTCAGTCCTCTATTTCCTACTAGCATTTATTGTAAATTGCAAATATATATACATACATACATATATATATATATATACATATATATCTTGTGGTGCTGCAGTTTGAACTGAAGGCATACATCTTGAGCCACTCCACCAGCCCTTTTTTGGCGTGTGTGATGGTTTTTTTCAAGATAGGGTTTCACGAACTATTTGCCTGGGCTGGATTTGAACCATGATCCTCCTGATCGCTGCCTCCTGAGTAGCTAGGATTACAGGTATGAACCATTGGCACCTGGCTTGGATTAATTTTTTAACTTCTTGTTTTTTGGTGGCATATGAGTTTGAACCCACAGCCTTTTGCTTGTTAGGAGCAAGTGCCCAACCACTTGAACCACACCCAGCCCTTTAAGCTTTAATTAAAGGGCTGGTATATCTTTTCTGTAAAGGGCTAGTTAGTAAATACTTTAGGCTTTGTTGGTCAAGAAGCAAAATCAAGCATATTGTGTAGATAGTTATATAATGAGAGAGAACAAAATTTCATACATTTTAATGACCACAATTGAAAATATAGTAGTAATTGAGTAAGAAATTTTGTGATAACAAGTCTCCTAAGGACAAGAATAGAATTATTTTGAAGGGCTAACATTTCTCTTAATTGGGATCCAATGTTAGCATTTCCTATCATTAAATCTATTGCAAATGTTCTGTAAAAACTATTTTTAGCTTGTGGACCATATAGAAACAGGCATCATGCCAGGTTTTTATCCAAAGGTAGTTTACCAGCCCCATCTTCTTTTATTTTTGTTGTTGACATTGGGGTTTGAACTCAGGGCCTCATGCTTGCTAGGTAGGTGCTCTACCACTTGAGCCCCTCTGCCAGCCCTTTTTTGTATTGGATATTTTTGAGATAAGGTCTTGTGAAATATTTGCCTGGGCTGTCTTTGAACTGCCATTCTTCTGATCTCTGCTCCCCGAGAAGCTAGGATTACAGACATGAGCCACCAGCACCCAGCACAGCCCCATCTCCTTAATTTGCTATGTTATGAATTGCTTCATTCATTCATCAATTATCTATTGCTTTGTAATAAATCCCAAAACTTATTGACTTAAAATAACACCACATTATTTCTCATGACACTATAGATCACCTAGGTGATTCTTCTTATTTTGGCCAGACTTGCCCATGTATCTATGACCAGCTGCTGGGTTGGCTGAAGATTGGGTAGGCCAAGGTGTTGTAAGTAGAGATAGCTTGTTTCTGCTTACATGGTTTCATCCTATAGGAAATCAGCCTGATCATGTTCACCTAACAGCTGAGAGGGTTGTAAGGAAGTGAGTAGAAGCATAGGAGGCCTGTTGAGACAGGCTAGAAACTGGCTTGCTAGTTTCACTGCCTTTTGCAAGCCTGTCCCAGGTTTGAGGTATGCAGCTCTTGATGGAGGAGCAGCAGAGGCATACTGCAAAATGTCATGGATACAGGGAATGCAATGATCACAGAATTTAACAAACAATCTACACGATTCATTTTCACCAACGTAAAGTATTTTATTGAATGAGCATAGCATAGTTGATTAATTCATTCTTCTGTTGATGGTCATTTATAACTTTTCATTTCTTGGCACCCATAAGCAGTGCTGCAGTGAATAATATTACATTTCCTTACGCCCATGTGCAAAAGTTTCATTAAAGAGATTATGTACACAAATTGGGCATATACATATAAAACTGTTGAAGTGGATTATTGCATTGTAGGGTATATGCACCTTCAACTTTACTAACTTCAAGTTTGTTGCCAAAGTGGTTATACCAATTTACAGTCTTACTACTAGTATAGTTCTTACTGTTCCACGTCTTTGGCAAGGTATTTTAATTTTTTCCAGTCCTTAGGAACATGAAGTAGCATCTCATAGAGGTTTTAGCATGCATTATCTTTATTACTTATTATATTAAACACCTCTTCATGTCTTTGTTTTTAACCCTTTGTGAGCCTGGGCACCCAGCTCACCCACTCCCTCACTTACTGTCTTGGAAGCCCCCCCCAACCCCCACACACACTCCATGTTGCCCTCTCCTTCATCTCTTTCATATGCTTTTGACCATTGTGTTTTTCTGTAAATTGCCAGTTAATATACTTTGCCCTTTTTCCAATGAATTGTTTTTTCCCTCTTTGATTTGTAGGAAGTTTTTGGAGTTTACTCCTTATTGGTTACATGTGTTTTAATATCTTTTCTCAGTTTGTAGTTGCCTTTGTGTTTTTCACCCTTAGTGAAAAAAAGTTTTAAATTCTAATACTGTTGGATTTTTATCATCCTTTTCTTTTAGGGTTTGTATGTCTCATTAAAGAAATCTTGTACTTCCCATGTTTAAATTCTGTTGTTTCCTGAGTATTAAAGTTTACTTTTCACATTTTTATCATTAATCTGCTTAGAATTCTTTAGAATTTTTGTGTAGGGTGTAAGGTGGGGATCTAATTTTACATATAAGGATTTCCAGTTCTCGCAACATGATTTGTTTAAAATTCTCCCCTTTGATTAGCTTTCCTGAAATGCCAACTCTGGCATATATGACTTTCCACTTACACATAGGTCGTACATTTCTTTTAATACTAACTTCATATATGGTAATACCTTTGAAGCTGGCACCTTTTATTGGCACTATACTATTGCCCTAGCAGTCCTGACTATATTTGTTACTTTAATTACTTTGGATAATAGCAATAGACAGTATTTTGGTTGCTTACTGCATAATAGATTAGTATACTTAGTGTTTTTGATTTTTCATGACTGCTCTGACTTAACTACTTTTATTCTCCTTGTAGATATGTGTAAACTAAAGTCCATAGGATGCTTACTTAGCAGGAACTGTGAACACAGGTCGCCTGGTTCTGTGGTCTCAACTGTAAAGCCATAATGTTTTACTGCTTCTCATTTAATTGAGTTTATAAAAGACTTTTCCGGTTTGAAACATTTGAACAGGAGTTAGAGCAGTTCTCAGTCCACCATGACCCATCTAAAATTTGTTCGATTGCTGATATTGCTAGACTGAGTCATACAGATGATAAATAGGACTCATTGCAGTTTGGTTTTAGAATTTAATTGGGCATTTTTAAATGGTTGTCTTTGAGGTCTGACCCTTGCCATTGCATATGATGAAAATACAGGAAATGATTTTTGTACTTAGGAAAACAATTGTCATGTTTTGGGTTTCTGGAGTTTTCATGTATCCACTGGTAGGGCATTCCGTGTACAAAGAATGGGGCCAGTGAGCACTGTTACCACATATTTGATGAGCAAGTTCTCCTGCATAAGAGACAACTTCCTAGGCCTTCAGAATCATAATGCAAAAAACTTGTTTACATATACCTGTCAGATCA